CGAAAAGCGTCAAGAATGACGGGACAAACAAGCTGGAGCGTAAGACGTACGCTACAGTTGCTTCAACCTCGTCTGATAACTTGCGCCCAGTCTCGTTTCCCGCGGCTAAGCCGGTTGCGGTTCATGTAAATTCCAAAACCCGTGGGGTAAATACACCCCGTCGAGGTGATTCTTTCATGGATAGCAGCGTGATATTCCGTAACGCAGTGGAATCCACTGCTGCACTTCCTGCCGAACGTACATTAGACGACCTACAGTGGTTTAAGATGTGCGTAACGAAACTTCTTCCGCCTGGGTTTCCCGGTGTTACTGTCAGGAAACTGACTAGATTGGGTAACGTCCCAGTTAACGCCCCAAACCCTCGACCGCGCTTACTTCGGGTAGTCCTATCCACCCCGGAGGAACGCAACGCGCTGTTGCGGTTTGCCTTCAAATTGAAGGGTACTAATGTTAGTGTTCAGCCAGACCTCCCATTAGCGGATAGGCTGAAGCTAAAAGAGGCCATTAAGGACCTCAAAACCAGGCGAGCGGCCGGTGAACAAGGTCTCCGGTTGGTGGGTTTTCGGGTGGTCAGCCGGCGGTCTGTTTCCGCCCTACCAGTGCCAGTACTGGTAGCGCACGACCCAGGGCTGGACATTACGACTACCTTCAAATAGTGCTAAGCAATGTGCGGAGCCTAAGGAATAAGATGTGCGAGATAGGTCTGCTTGTAGATGGGTCTCATCCCGATATACTTGCATTCACTGAAACGTGGCTGTCTCGGGACATCACGGACGGTGAAGTACATCTGTCTGGCTACGCACTATTTAGATGTGATCGCTTCGTTGGCCGACAAGGCGGGGGCGTTGCGCTTTACGTTAGGTGTGAACTTGACGTTTCACGCACCTACATGTTTCAGTCGGCAGATAAAACTGTCGAAGCGCTGTCGGTAGTGATTAACACTTCCTCAGCTCAACTTACAGTCGTACTTGTGTATAGAAGCCCTGGAAGTGCGTCCAAAGAGGTGCTTGACTTTATTCGCTCCCAATCCGCAAACAGGTGTTTGATACTCGGGGATTTCAATCTACCAGAAGTTTGCTGGGCGGATCTTTCTTGCAACTCGGCAGAAGGTACTTTCGGGGCAGATCTACTTGAGCTTACGCTACAAGTACCGTTGTATCAGTTCGTGGACCTCCCCACTAGGTACATGGACGCCCAACTCCCGTCTATTTTGGATCTAGTGTTTGCCAAGTCACTAGACTTCGTAGGGGACATCACTTACAGCTCTCCCTTAGGTGCTAGTGATCATGTTTGTTTATCGTTCAGGTGTAGTCTGACCAGGCGTCACCAGAGCATTGCTAAGCCATTTCCAAACATATGGCGTGCTAACTATCAGGCAATGCGTACCAAGGCTGCTGGGATGCGTTGCGAAATCTCGGTGGTTGATACGGTTCAGGCGGCCTGGGATAAATTTAAATCTTATCTCACGGAAGTGTCTACTCCCTACATCCCGCTTGCGAGGAGAAAGGAGACACGGGCGCGGCCGCCGTGGATAGATACCACTGGCAAGCACCTGCTCCAGAAGCGTTCTAGGTGCTGGAGGACCTACCGTGCGGCTCCATCAACTAGCACCTATGATAGATACCGCGAGGCTAGAAATAGGTGTAAACAACACTTAAGGAAAGCTCGGCTGGTGTACGAAAAGGAATTGGCTGACGGAGCTTCGGAAAATCCGAAGAAGTTCTTCGCTTATGTTAAGAGACGCTGTGGTTCAACTTCGGTAATCCCAACTTTGATGAGGGCCGATGGAACTCGTGCGTATGCGGACTCAGATAAGGCTCGTGTACTTGGGGAACAGTATGCAGGGGCTTTTGTACGTGAGGCCGCGTTGACTAGCGTTGAACTTGTCCCCCGAGTACCTGATGGTTCTTATTTAGCTGAGTTTACTGTGGTGGAAACGCAAGTCCTTAAACTGCTGCAAGAACTGAACCCTTCCAAAGCAGCTGGACCTGATTCAATTCACCCGAAGCTTCTGCATGAGTTGGCGGTGGAACTAAGTGGACCGCTGACGATGGTGTTTCAGAAATCACTTGACAGCTGTACATTACCTTCCGAATGGAAGGAGGCTGTCATCTGTCCTATCTTCAAAAATGGCGACAGGAGTCTGTCAGCCAATTATAGGCCAGTTAGTCTGACTAGCGTTGTGGTCAAACTGCTTGAAAAGCTGGTGAGAGATTCGTTGGAATGTCACCTGAATAGATTTAATCTGCTCAGTAGTGCACAACATGGATTCCGGAAGGGATTTTCGTGTTTGACGAATTTGTTGGTTGCTCGTGAAGCTTGGGCCGAGGCAGTGGACAATGGTCACGTGGTGGATGTGCTTTTCGTAGACTTCTCGAAAGCATTTGATAAGGTACCCCACTTGAGGCTATCACATAAGCTGAGGTCCTACGGCGTATCTGGCCGCGCCCTTCACTGGGTATCTGCGTTCTTGCAGGGAAGAGAGCAGTGTGTACGTGTGGGTCGCAGCTTATCCTTTAAGCAAGCGGTCCTTAGCGGTGTCCCACAGGGCTCGGTCCTTGGACCGATGCTGTTCTCCATCTACGTAAACGATCTCCCTGGAGAGCTTGGGGTATCATCCCTATTGTTTGCTGATGACCTTAAGCTATGGAATGTTGTAAATGTTCCTGGGGGTTCTGAGGCCATACAGCATGCACTGGACAGACTCTGGGACTGGTCTACTTTGTGGCTACTGCCCATAAATCAGGCTAAGTGTTCCGTCCTTCGTATAGGAGCAACTTTCCCGCCTTCGAGCTACGTACTCGGTGGGGTCGAACTCCCCCTTGTCTCCAACCAGATAGACCTAGGTGTCGTTCATTCCTCGTCTTTGCATTCTGGTGACAACTGGAAGAAGGCCGCTAGTAGGGGTTTCAGAATGTTGTGGTTAATACGCCGTTCTTTCGGGGTCTTAACTGCCGACATATTTGTGAAGCTGTTCTCAGCTTTCGTTCGGCCCCATCTGGAATACTGCGTCCAGGCTTGCCCGCCCTGCCTTGTTCGGGACAAAATGGAGCTTGAGAGGGTTTTGAGAGTAGGTACCAAATTGGTCGAGGGGTTACGGGGGCAATCGTACCCCGAGCGTCTACTTAGCTTGGGTATGTATTCAATGCACTACCGACGGCTTCGAGGAGACCTAATCCTTACTTACCGCATTTTAACAGGGAAGGTTGGACCGGACTTGAGCTGGCTATTTAGCCCGGCTAGGTTGCCTTGTCTTCGCGGTCATCCCATGAAGCTACACAAGCCGCGTTCTGACCGGATCAGGGCGGAAACTCGGTTATCGCGTAGAGTTATCGAGCGCTGGAACTCGCTTCCAGAAAATGTAGTCAGTGAACCTACGGTTAAGGGTTTCGAGCGTCAGTTAGACGCTCTTGGGTGGCAACACGAAACCTTTCCCTTCTCCTGACCATATCCATCTTCAAACTTTTAGTTCTTATTCTGTCATTATCTTCACTCTTTGGTGTTATCCTTCATTTTAATGACTTTCATTCCCCTTTATCTTCCATTTACTTTCTACTTCTTTCTTACTTCACGTAACCTACACAGCGCGGACTGCTAGTGCAGGGAACGTGGGCAGTAATTGGTTGATCAGGGTGTGTTTCGGGTGTTTCGTTTTAGATCTATAAAGAACTAGCACCTTATCATTTCCTGGCTCAACGATTTGCTCAAGAAGGAACACTCAAGGGATTTTCCTATCGTTCCAGTCCATCTGAATCTGAATCTGACCACTGGCCAAGGATATCATCAGTGTGGTAAACTGGTCGAAGCAATGGGACTTGCCCTTGAATGCAAGCAAGTGCCAAATTCTGACCACTAGTAGAGACGTACTTGCAGTTCAGACTTCCTTTGGGCCCTTCCCCTTACAATGCACTACCCAGGCACGCGATTTAGGAACAGCTTCAAGCCTTCGATGCAATGTCGATACGCCACCAACAAAGCGCGACGAGAATTGTTTCGCCTCAGGAGGGCTCTGTGTAATACCAAGCCAGAAGTGTTCCTGCCACTATACAAAGCAGTGGTTAGACCGCACTTAGAGTATTGTGTTCAAGCTTGGTCGCCCTATCTCCGTGGTGACGTTTTTTGCCTGGAGAAGATTCAAAGACTAGCAACCAGGATGGTTGAAGGTCAACGGGGGAAGCCGTATGAAGATCGCCTAAAGAGCCTGGGGTTGTTTTCCCTTGAACGGCGTAGACTGAGAGGCGATCTGATAGAAACATTTAAGATCATGAAGGGCCTCAGTGCCATCGTGCCCTCTGATTTATTTGAGCTGGCTGATTCTGGACGCTTGCGTGGATCTCGCTTGAAGCTCAAACAGCAGAGGGCTAGACGGAACGTCAGGGCTAAGTTCTTCTCGAATCGTGTAGTGCGCAACTGGAATAAGTTGCCTTCGGAACTAATGGATTGTGAGACTGTGGTTGCCTTCAAAGCAGGCCTAGACAGGTGCTGGCCGCGTATTTTTCCGGAATTAATATAATCCTATTCAATTTATTCGCATTGACATCCGATGTTGATCCTTGTAAAAGCAAAGATTGCTCTCGCTTTTGCTTCATTTCTTTTTGCAGAGGCAAGGAGAGGCGATCAAAAGTCGAAGTGCCGGGGGTCTGGTTCGCTTACCGGTACAAGAAGCCGGACACTCGTTAGGCGGAAGCCTGTATCGTCCACGGATTATGACCTGACCTGACCTGACCTGAGAAGCTCAAGCTTTCATCCCTTATGTTTGTGGATGACCTAAACTTTCGGAGTGTCGTGAGTGATTTTGAAGGCCTCTTGGCTTTGCAGACAGCTCTTAACAAGCTTTTGGAGTGGTCAGATTTATGGCAGCTACCAATAAATCTTGCTCGGTCCTAAGCTGTGACAGAGGAACGTTTCAAACAACTGTTAGATTCTCACCTGAGCGCGCTGGGATTCTGCTGCCTCTAAACTACAGTGGTGCTCTGCGGAACCTTCTGCCGCAATGACCCACGCCATCTCCGCAATGATCGGGAAGTGAAGGAGCTGACAAAGGATCTTCCTTCTGCTCTCTATCATCCAGTGATCCAATATGCATAGGATCAAGTACACCTTCAATATATTTTTTACTTGGCGGAAATGCAATATCACATGTGAGCCAACAAGTCGACTTAGCTATTTCACTGTCCTCAGAATTTAAATCCAGGGACAACCTGACGGCGCCCTCTCGCAATGGTTTCCAAATGCTGTGGATGATCGTTGGGGATCATAACAAAGGACATGTTAGTTATGTTGTTCTCAGTCTTTTTCAGACCATAATTGGAACACTACATGCAAGTCTGCCCCCATGCTCGGTCTGCGATAAGATGGCAGTTAAACGAATTCTGCGAACTGACACAAAATAGTGCATGGGTTAAGCAATCACTCATATCCCGATGGGCTGTTCAGATTACAGATGTTTTCGCTGCACTACAGGCGCCTTCGGGTCGATTTACTCTTTACTTACCGTATACTGACTGGCCACATTGGGCCTGATCTATCCCGACTGTTTCATTCCATTCGGATGCCCAACTCTTCGGGTCCATTCTCTGAAGCTTCATTAGACCACATTTGTTCGCATTAAAGTTGTATTTCGTTTATCAGAGGGTCGTAGATTCATGGAAGGCACTACCCAAGGATGTGGTACTGACACCAACGGTAAACGAGTTAGAACACCGACTCGCTGCCCTTGGGTTGCAGTCACAAACGTTCCCCCCTGAATCTTCACCCCTTAACGCGGCGTGTGGCGAAAACGCCTGAAAACTTTTGTTTTGCGAATGCATAGGTTCTCTTTCAGCTCCGGTTTTGGAATTTTCGGGACTTACATCTCTATATTATTATTGAAGATATCCGCACTGCAGATTTTTGATGTTCATACTACTAGAAAGTAGGGAGTGTGAATGTGCTTATACGTAGTATTTGGCTCATACTCAGGATGAGTGTTACAAAATTGTAGTAAGTTATGCTGAAGAAAAAACTATGTACTTGCTTATTGTGCATTTGTCTTGTTAATAATCGGGAATTTTTGACCTGAGATGAAAAGTTTTAGCGATTTTAGCGATATTAGGGTGTGTGGCGTTTTCGCCACATTCAGCACAAATGGCTACAAATGAAAAATATCCCGTTTTCACTGTTGCTGACTTCCTGTATTTCAAGTGTTCTGCTCTTTATTTTTAAGCGGACGAAATGTACCAATCAACTTCACATGGCATACGAGCTGTCAGGTTTCAAAGCAGGATCAACCTTCGAACCAGGATTCCACCAGTTGAAAGTGATGCCACCAACCTCAGTGACAGCGGTGATAGCGATGGAGACCACATTCTTGCACCGGTACCACTGTTTGTTGATAGAAGCAGCAGTAATTTTAGCACAGATGATGACAGTGGAAGATAAAAGCTGCGCAGCAACTGGTATCATGCTGCACGTGCTGGCACCAGTCACACTCCTGCACGAAGGCTACAAGCTGCTACTCCAGCAGCAAAACAACCAGTTCCTATTTCCCGCAACCAAAACACCAGCCTTACGAAAGCGATTAACACTTTCTGGAAAGAATAGGCAACCAGCGTTAGTGTGGAAAACAATACAACAACATAATTCGACAGAAGACATCCAAGTTGGGCATTCTGCTCTCCCTGATTCTGAAGTAATCAGACAACCCACTCATTATTTCAGAGAGCTTTTCGACAGATCATATAGATATCATTGCAAAGGAAAGTAATCTATACTGAACACAGATAAACCCGAACAGTGCCCTCCAGTTAGATGGAAATGAACTGGGCCGGTTTATTGGTATTTATGAGTTATCACCACCATGACCAATCACACCGAAGTTGCCGAAGGAGGAGTAGTTATCGCCATCGCTTGACCTAGCGCGCAGTTGAGGACAAATCACGTGACAGGTAGAGCAAAACCATTGGTTCGGAGGGTGGGAGTGGTAGCCGTGCTCCACACATCACGCAGCCGGCGACTGGGTCGTACGCCTTGGCTTTTCTGGTCCCTAGTTTGATCCGATTATTTTGAAGAGTTTTACCGAATGTGGCGTTTTTGCATCATACCGAAACATATATCTAAAATAGGTTCTATAATCAGATTAACTATCTGCATCAAATTCAACATCGGCAATTCAGTCAAATAACCAAAGAAAAGTTTTTTCTTACCTCCAGAAATTAAATCCGGCAAGAAGGGGTTAACTTCCATTTCCTTATCTTCATTTCTTATTGTTACTATTGTTATTATTTTGTGCCTTTATACTTATATCACAGTTACAAGTATTTTTTGCTCTTGTTTACCTTAGCCTTTCTTCTTATTCAAGTGTCCGGTACAGTGGGGACTGCTAGTGCAGACCACCTGGGTGTTGCTTGGTTGATACTGATCTGATTCGAGTCTGTTTGTTTTTTCTCGGTTTCTAGTTGATCCCATGAACTCTTCTGATTCAACAAGTCACTCAAGTAAGAACACCGATGCGAATTTCCTAGTGTTCCCGTCCCAAATTGAACTTGAACAAGTACCAAGCCATAACTCTTTTTTCCTTTTTATAAAGCAGCGATTAGACTACATTTAGGATACTGTAATCAGTCCTTGGTGCCCCCACTGCGGAAGAATATCAATTATACTGAAAATGATCAGGCTGACCATTCGAATGGTAGAAAACCGCAGAGGTTACTGTATGAAGATCCGTTAGCTAACTTAAGATTGTTCTCAATGAGGAGACGCAGATTGATAATTGATTTAATAAAAACCTTCAAAAGCATGTAGGGTCTAGGTGGTCTCAGGTCCACTGATCTCTGAACCAGCTACATCGGACCACTTGCGGGGCTATTGTCTAAAGTTGAAACAGCAAAGATCTAGGCTGCGCATGCCAGCCCACCAGCTCCCGCGATGTGCGTTTGCGCGCCGGGGGTCCGGATAGAAAAAGAGCAGGGGTGGCCAAGTGGTGACTTGGTCAACTGGAATGAAGCCCTTACTTCGAAGTTGGCCTCGGTTGGAGCCTGGACTCCTAGGTTGGAACCGAGGGATGATGAACACGTTTGGATGGATACAGTTGTTAATATGGCAAGGAGCCGACCTCAATGCCGTTTGTGTTGTGAGTTTCTTTGTCCCTCCCTCTTAGTCTCCCCCACCAACCACGATTTTAATTCATACGCACAATGCAATACTTCTTTTTGCTGCACAATAGCCGGCTGTTAGCTCTCCGGGACGATGTTCATCCGTTACTGGTGACTCAGCCGGCGTGCCTCTCGTGTTTTTTCTTTTGTATTGCCGCACAATAGCTGAGATGTTTTTTCCCCCATCGCAATGAAGCTGGACTTTACCGTGGTGCGATGGTTTGCGTGCCTCAGAGATCCATTGAGCTATGCTGGGTGGTGCTTTTTTTGCACCTTTAGAGCCACTCATACCAGATTGGTCAATGGTTAGAGGCCAGACAAACTCAGCCTCCTGGTCCTCCAGGTTGGGGGTTGGAATGGGGGTGGCTCCTCATTTCATAAAACGGGCTCTGTAGTCCAGTGCCAAAACCCGGTGCCTTGCGGTAAGTCTTTTGATCCAAAGGCTTTGGTTGAGAACCCTATTCGTTCTCCTGTCTAGGCCTGGGCAACCTGACAGTATTCTGCCCACGCAATACAATGAACCTTTCCTACAACAATTGCTTGATGCTCTGGCCGTCGCAGAGGATAATAAACGGCGCCCTATCTGCTGCATCGAGCGGGGTGGATGGGGGTTTGGATGCTACTGCTCAGGCCTTCCCGTTTTCTTATACCCCTTCTTGCGCTTCTGCATCCTTATTGTCCCGCTCCAATTTTACTTATATCCCCCCATTTTCAACCCCCCAATTCGTGGCCCTCCCCCAGCTTACTTCAATAGTCGCTTGTCTTCTAATTTCAAATCACACACAATCGCAGGGCCTCGCTGCAATCCAGTCGACAAGTCCATGTTCAACCAAGCGGACAACGTCAGTTCATCCGTTTCCCTTTGGAGTCCTCGTGTCTCGCTAAGATTGGCATGCCTCAACGTGCGCACTTTGCTGCAGATTGGCCAACAGGCAGCACTTGCCCGCACACTAGAGACCCTATCGATCGATATTTGCTGTTTATCAGAAACCCGCCTGCAAGGTTCGACCTCCGTGCTTACCCTGAGGTCCCCCACATGCGACAATGGCGGCACATTCTCATTGCGCCTATCTGGCGATGATGCAGCTTCAAATGCTGGTCAAGCTGACGTCGGCATTGTTTTGAGTCCCCGGGCTGAAGCTGCCCTGCTTGATTGGATCCCAGTAAACAGTAGGATGTGCGCCGTTACATTAGCTGGTTCGTTCCGTGCTTCGAAGTCGCGTGGGGACAAACGATGCCTGTTTGTCATTGCGGCCTACGCCCCTACAAACTGTAGCACTGATTCGGTAAAAGATGATTTCTATCAGCAACTTCACGAGCTCCTTCGTTACAGAAGAAGCACGGATACTGTGGTGCTGGCTGGCGATCTAAACGCCCAAGTCGGAAAATTGTCCTCGGATGAGCTTCATCTGGGCGGCCAACATGGTGTAGGCTCCCGTAATGATAATGGTGAGCGATTGCTTCAGCTGTGTGAAGATGCTCACCTCTTTCTCGCGAGCACTAACTTTCGACACAGCACCCGCAGAAGTGTGACTTGGCGGCCACCAGCCTCGGGCCAGTCATGGTCGCAAATCGATCATATCGCGATCAGTTACCGCTGGAGAGGCTGTGTCCAAAACTGTCGCTCGATTTGGAGCACGAGCGTGGACTCTGACCACGCACTTGTATGTGCCGACCTCCTGATGCGTTTCGGTGGACGTCCGCAACGTCGATGTGAACGGATTGACACTAGCCAGCTGGCGAAGTCAGATGTTCTGAATGTGTACCAAGATGCGCTGACATCTAGGCTGAGTAAGCGCCCACTAAACACCGTTGAAGATCACTGGTCGCATACTCGTCAAGCGTTGCTATTAGCAGGCATGTCTTCATGTGGCAAAACAAATTGCAAAACCGAACATTGGGTCTCTACACAGTCTCTGGAACTTATGGATGCTCGCCGACGTATTCCGGCTGGAAGCGAATACAATGAAGCTCGCAAAAATCTCAGGGCGAAACTACGTGCTAGCCTA